TGTGTGTGTGTGTGTGTGTGTGTGTGTGTGTGTGTGTGTGTGTGTGTGAGTGAGCAAGAGAGAGAAAAAGAAGTCAAAATCAAGGTTTGAGGTTTTACTTTAGGATGCTCAAGATTGATGATGTCAAGATAAAAAAAGAGGGTGACATGCAAACATACACACCAACGCATTACTGGTAGCAACATTCCCAGATTTATTTTACATCTAGTCTGAAAAAAAAACCATTATTAATAATAAAAATCAACCACACAAACTTAAACTATATACGTTCTATATGTGCTGCTGCTTCCGACCTATGGGGGCTTGGATTTAGCTGGTGCATCTCAGCCAGTGTTCGAAATTATATTTGGTTTAATAAAAAATAGCAATGTGATTTATTAGTTCCTACAGTATCTGCATGAGCTGTATCTTTGTGTAAATACAATACACTTGCAGAGCATTGTGGCTGGCAGATGATGAGGAGACTGAATAAAAATACAAAAATAAGAGAAAACAATAAAAGGTAGGAGGAGAGGATTGGAATGCTTGACTGATGGTATTCCATTTAAAAAGAAGAGAAACTTATAAAAAATAAAGAATTACTCAGCTGTAATATCAAGAAAAGTTATTAAGTTATTAACATTTTAGGTACAATAGCAGAATATGAGGCAACACGTGTTGTTAGCTGTCATAATGCATTTAAGCAAAGCACTGAATGTCGTCACTGCTGCCCTCAGTTGGGRTTTAACTGCAGTGGAAGTGTTTAGAAAGCTGGACTTTATGAACATTTCAATGTTGAAAAAATCTTTTTAAAAAAAGTTGTTTTTCTCTAATATGTCCTTGCTTGTAGCTAAAGTAAATGTCTCATTGTGTTAGTTTAGCTCTTTATTATTATTTTCATTATTGTTATTTTAGAAGTGTATTTCCAGATTCTAGACTCTATTAAATACAAGTTGAACACAGAATGCTGCCGGATTTTACACAAATATCTTAATTTCTTAWGATTTATCATTTAGATATCACATGAAAGTGAATTCATTGTCGACGTTTAGGAGCTTTATCTCTTTCCTGGTGTAGAACATTGGAGAGGGAGGGTACGTTTAAAAAGACAAGCCATTAACAGTGTTAGGGTTTCATTCACTAAGTCCTGGAGTTTATTGTGATCGTCTTGTCTGTTCCCTGAAGCATGTACCTGAGCTAAGGACATTCGTTTAGACAAAGAAAGAAGCAGCAGGGACAGAGGGAMTCACTGCAAATATCCATCTAGCTGGAGAGGAGAGACTGGAAAAGAGCTGAATAACAGCCTGTATTTTTAACACGTGCAGTCTGTCATCTTCTGTCAAGCATTAGCTCCAGTGTTGTAAAGATCTTTTTGGTAGTTTGGCTTCCGTTGCCTTTTTGAATTTTCCAAAGTTCACACTTTAAAGGACTAAGTCCTTTAAACTTAATTTTAGTCTGGCAAATTATATGGTTGCACCAGAAGTGTTATTAAAAAAAAAKAATTTCTTGTGAATTATGTGTCGACAGATACTGAGAGCCAGTTGTCCAAATGGGAGGTAAAACKTAGTGTCCATAAAACTACTGCAATCCCATTATAAACTGTATCACGTCCAAAACAATAAATAAGGTCAATTCTCCCTGGATGAAAATGGGTAATCTGCCAAGAGAATAAAAAACTTCTMCGAGAAGAAAAGTCCAACTTGATGCCTTTTATCTAGCTACTCTGTGAGCGACAGTCCACCTTACCTTGATCATTTACTCCTGTCAAACCATCGCCGCTCCATTTACTGCTGTTCCAAACCTCGTTGGATTAGAGGGAGAGATGAATGCGGAGCGTAAACCAGCCAGACTTGGTCCAAGATATTAAAAGCTTCTGTCTCTCCTCCCTCTCGAATCGTTGCCCCTGCTGTTGCTGCTCGTTCACCAAGTCGTTTAGAGGAAGTGTCAGATTAATGCTGACTAAGAGAAGAGACCAGAATATTGCAGAAATCAGTAGTGACGTTTAAAGAATGTGCTCTCCTGGAGAGTTGTGACTAAGTTGTGTCTTGATGACTGGCATTGTGTCACAGCTGACCTGACATTTCTGCCTGTATCATC